ATATGATGCAAAATAAAATTGCATAAAACAGTTCCCAGCATCCATTATGATTTCAGCTACAGATCTGGCTCAGTGCTGTGACTTCAGGACAAAGTAGGCGATGAACCAGAAATTTTAGTAAATAGAATGATGGACAGACGAACATCATGATTAAGTGGGACCAATGTGCATCTCAAGCCCAGGGCTGATAGCCATTGAATATGAATCAGTTGTGAGGTAATAGCTCTTTCAAATATTCAAATATTTAGGCGTACCATGCATTAAAAATAACTGTTCGCAAAACTGCATCCCTCTTCCACCCCAATATCGAAAAATGCATAAAAATTTTTAAAACCAAAAATTATTGAATAAAAGATGAAAAAACTCCACTCTCCGGCAAAACGAGGAGAAATCCATCATACACTCGGTTGGGCAAGCCTACTTCGGTTGAGCGCATCGAGACTGTATGTAGTGTGCAGGCCTGTGTGTGTGTATGGCGATCAGTGCTCACCTTATCAGCGCCTATTTTTTTTTCTTTTTACTTTTTTGTTGGAGCGCATTGTTGCCCTATCATCATCATTCACTGAGTACATTCCAGCAGATTCCCGATCCTCGTAGCTACTTTTCAGTTGATCATTGGTCGTTGAGTTGGAAAAGATATTGAAAACAAAGTTATCGTCCCTTCAGTTTCTTAATTCTGTAACATTTTGAGGGCTCAGTGATCATGGCCAAATTAATTAGCGACCGATATGTCTTCCTGAAGCTTAGTGCAGGTGCATGATTAATGTTGGTGCAACCGTTAAAGTTCCTCATCCACAGCCTGAAGCCATTGGACTTCTGCAGGCTTGATCTGGAGGATTCATGGAGGAATCCCTGATTTGTTCGTGAATTCCGGAGAAATATTTATAACTCAAATTAAAGTATCGTACGAACACCCACTATGTTCCTGAGGTGCTGCATCGGCCGAATTTTTTAAAATGGCAGCAAATTCTAATAATACAGCTAGCGAAATTTCAGAAATTTTTCTAAATACTGAGGAAGCAACAACCCTGACTGCAAAAATTTTTATCAGCTTCTTACGAAAAAAACCATTTGAATAAAACTTTTTATCGATTTTTTCAACATTTTGACAAAAAATCTATATTATTGGGTTTCTTCCTTTTTTTGAATTTGAGGTGGTAATCTCGGCTTTCATTCGCAGTCCTGGCGCTGTAAATTAGTTCGAATGATGCGAGTACAAAATCGTAGCGTGCAGCAACAAGATGGCTTGTGCAAACAGTATAAAAACTATGGTAGTGATAGCTAATGTTTTCGTCTGCGCTTTTTATGCATTGCTTACGAAGCAGGAAAGGACATCCTGGTCAGTGCCATTGATCTGTTATAAGCCATACAATGACGATTATGATTTCCTGCGGAGCTTTGGTAACTTTTTTTGCGCCCAACAGATGCCTTTTGGTAGATGAAAGTTCAAAAACAGTTATTTAGTTACTCGAAAAAAATTCGCACTGCCAGAAAATATACATAATGCTGCAAGCATATTCAAAGTTTCAGCACAATCAGCACTGTACAACAGAGTAGCGGGATACGCAACGCTGTAAGAAGCTCCGAATTCAAAAACAGCGCATTCTAATAATAATTCCATAAAAAAGTAATCCAATATAAATCCCATAAAATACAAAAATAGTCTGACAGGTTGGCATACAAAGTTTTGGGAATATGCAAGTTTGGATGCATGTAGATAAACCAGTATTTTTGCACGCCGCTGCTATTAAGCAGGTACTTCCCGGATTTTGATTCTGACATTTCTAAACATAGTAACTTGCTGAGAACAACTGAAATGTTTTGGCGAACACTGGCGTCACATAAAGCAATCTATCCGATGCCCAGTCCGACACCTTTGTTCAGTTCTAGCTCGCCAACAATCGCAGGCAGCGCTACTGAATCGGTATCCGTTTTACCAGTTGCTATTAACGCTTTCTTGTTCACAGCTCCATAGCCTGGCTCGTAGCCACGTATTCTCGGCCCTTTTGGCTTTCCTGATGATCGTCCACCAAATACTGAAAGTTTAGTTCCAAAATAGATAAGGCTTTTTAAGAAGCACTCAGCATTATTCCCCTCATTGTTTATAGTTGGAACTGCAATCAACTGCGTGAAAAAAGGCAGGAAGAAGAATAATGTGATCAGAATGGTGCGAACAATTGAGCGAACTACCTGCCGCATTTTCTGCCAATTTAAATCAGAACGGACCAGTGAAACAGTAGTATTGCATCGGCATCATCCGTGGCACACCAGAGCCATACAGGGTTCATCGGGGAAGAACGCCACAGCAGCCGCAATGCAGCGGAGAGTGGCTGTGTTTTGTTTTGGTGTTTTGTATAGAGGAGTATTAAGGACTGTAGAAAGACGAATTAAGTTTTTTTTTGGTTTTTGTTTCAATAGAAACTTGTTGGTTTGCCCAACCCAACGGGAGACTTAGGAAAAAAGAAATGTGTGAGGGGGTGGGAGCGAGAAGGGTAGTGAGGATCACGGATGGGAAGAGAGAAAAGATATAAAGAAATTTGAAGTCTTCTAAGTATATTACCTTCATCATAACACATCGCGAAATGTTTAAGGGAAGCTACAAAAATTCGATATGAGTGTTCTCTAAAAAAACAAGTGCATCGCCGTAAACTGGCGCAGAACAGATGCAACGTAGGTCAGTCAGAAATCCAAGCAAGAATTCGCATCTAGAAGCACCATTCGTAAGAGATAATTGGGTGCTCGACATTTCTGCATGCAGTGTACTTAGTAGGACAATGAGCTGAAGCATGTTAAAGGCGTGAGATGTGCTTAAGGCCGAAAAAATTGCAAATACACAAAACAGATAGTCTAAAAAAAATTTTGGACCGAAATGAACTAACATCTTCCTAATCCGGGTAAATTGCCCAGACCAAGAGAGCGAAGAATGGATTTCTGGAATTCAGCACTGGCAACATGATTTGTCGGCGACAATGGATCAAGCGACGGAAAACCTCGTTCCAGTCCATCAATCGTTCTCGCTGGACCAGGCCCGATGCGTTCGCCAAGAATGCCAAGTTCAGCACCTCGGTTCACTACCAAGCCCCCAATCTAAAAATTTTTATTGCATCGAATAGTTCATAAAGCTATAGAGCTTTGTAATTCTGAAAAAAAAAAAGCGCAAAAATAGCCATTTCACAGTGTTTTTTAATTTTACCTCATCCAAACCAGGCACAGGACCGACATCG